AGACGGGAGGGCATTCGAGACCAAGCTCTCCATATGGTTGGTTGCTCCCGTGAGCCTTGCCTGCTTGGCCATCCCTCTGATCTACATGTTGGCCACGAGGCACCCTTTCCTCCTCACAGTCGAAGTCGTGGTTAGTGCGGCAGATTTCTCATCCGACCTGCTCAATGCGCTGACAAACGAGTTCTACTCGCAGCTGCTGTTTCTGATGTGCCTTGCCACAGCCATTGGCGCAGGCACCGTCATCGTACTCACGCACTATGGCGTCGACATTGCAGCCCACATGAGCAGCACATTCTTATTTGTGGCAATGCCCGCATGGCGTCGGCTCGCAGATCACGGCATTCACCAGGTCATTGAATGTAAAAACGGAGTGATGACATACTGAGACCAATGAACATGTTGCTGCATTAGACGCGAAGCCTGTAAACTCAAGCATGCTCTCTTGGTATCTGGGCAGGTTTTCGAAGTGGCGGGCGACAGCTTCGAGATGCACTTCGTGAACTACGTTACGGTGGCATTGCTGACCTTCTCTCTCCCACTCATTTGGCTCTTCTTTGCCCCGCTCGCAGCCCTGAGCCACGGCATGGGCTTGTTCATGCTCGGCATGTTCTTGCAGAGCACGCGCCTCCTCCTCCTGAAGCCCACTGAGGACTGGTACCAATCCGTGCTAGGGCGAACGCAGGAAGGCCCATCTAGGGAGGCGACTCAGGGGGCCACTGAAGATCAGTCTCCCGTGGACAAAGCAAAGTACCACCAGATGATGTGCACCGAAATTGCCACGGAGGGGCTTCCCAGCGCGGCCGTGACGCTCATCAACTACAACCTCATGCGAAATAATGATATGACCGAACAAATGAACTGGGTGGCCGCAGTGTCTTTGTTCTTCTCCGCCTACATGGTGATACGCATCGGCTTCAAGTGCCCGGCTCTACAAAGACAATGCTTTCCGGTCTAGGTGTCTCATGACCCAATCGTTTTTCTGCTTCACGCCCAAACCCAAAAGATTCGCATTCTCCCGTTGCTCATTTGGCCGCAGCACAGTTATGGCCTGAATAGTTTTCAATTCCCTGGTCCTACGTTCGCTTCACATTATGCTACTATAGTACAAGGTACCTCAGTCGAATGTGGTCCAGAATGATCCCGGAAGATATTTCAGCCGTGCAGTAGCTCATCTGGCCGAGGTATTCCTGGCACTTTGCGCACGGCACCGCATGGTCCGACATCCCGCTTCCCTTCGATGAGAAGGCTCTAAGCTACAAGGAGAGGCCAACTTGATTCAAATCATGCAGCAGAGTGTATACTTGTCCAGTAAGCAAAGCTCGCCGGTATCGTTCATGTCAGGGCGCTTGCCAAGTACTTTATTTTGTGTGAGCATGGCTGTCAGCAGCCTTTCATTCCCATTCAGAAAATTCGACGAACACCTCGTCAGTTTTATTGTCAGTCAGCACCATCGCTCTTTGCTGCAGGCTAATTAGACCAGCATCTCAGCATCTGCAAGCTAGCTAGGAGTTGGTAGGTCTTCTTTTCTTGTACGTAGGGCTTTCGATTGACTGGTGTACGGTCTCTGTCACCGAGAGTAGATCTAAGTGGTGCTCAAGGAGAAGTGGAGGAAGGGATCCCGGGCCCCTCCCCCCCCCCCACCCCCCGGAAGATATTTGGCCGGAAGGCAACCCCTCCAGATGGAGACCCCCGAATAACAGCGCAAAATCCCGAAAGCATGTAGTAAAGCATTGCAGGATTGAGTGGTGCTGTGAATCTGAATACGAGTACGAGTATGAATATTTGTATGAGTGCTAAGAATTTTCAGTATGAATACTAGTACTAGTAGCTAGTAACTAGTAGCTAGTAACGGGTAACTAGTAACTAGTACTGGTATTATCGGTCCTGGCCCTGGAATCATGCAAGCTTTGGCTCTCAGCATGTCTTGCATTCTTGGAATACTGAAAGGCTTGGGCGCTCTCCTTGAGAAGCTTATGATGGCCTAGGGTCTGCAATTCATACTGATTTTGAAGGCTTGGGGGGAAGCTCGCGACTAACAAAGGGCCCTTTACAAATCAGCAATCGTCGGAGTGCGGGCCCACGTTGTTGCACTGCTCAAAAACTACAGAATACAGGTCAGTTGTGACGTCGATTGTGGTGATGGTGTGATATTTGGAGAGGAGTTCAAACTTATGTTTTCACATCTAGATCGGCCAGTTTCGCAATAGTGAAGATACCAAAAATCGGCCGCAGGAAGATTCAACATGAAAGTATATGAAGGTGTTTTTGCGTTAATCCTTCAATCAAGCAGGTTAACAAAAAGCTTGTTTTCATCTAAAAGCATGGGCCGGCATTCCGACGCACTCTCCAGATAATTGGGGCCAGGTACCTTCTCAAGGGACCCTGTTGCAGAACTTCCAAGAACATGGTTTTCTTAGTAGCTGAGCAGGTAACCTTTAACTTTTTGGGGCCTATATAACCCTACTATAACTTGAAAGGTTAACTTCCGTTTTTTTGGCGAGGATACTCAGCCCCTAAGTTTTTGTATGGAAGTACTGATTGAAATCTTAAGTTTCCGGCCTGCCAAGATTTCTTGGTCCCCGGTTGCCGGGATTCCCGAAAGCCGTAACGCTCAGCAAGTTACCAGTGAGAAGCTTATGGTGGCCTGGGGCCTGCAACTCATGCTGCTTTTTTGGGGGGCTCGGAGGAAAAACCCTGACTAACATGGTCCCCTTATTAACTTCGTGTACCATTGGCAAAATCGAAATCTCGACCGACGAGCCCGACGAATTTGGGGTCCCTACTAATTTCCGGGTTCACATTGTAGTCGTCCATAGCATGGAAGATCTTCTTGTTCATTGTCTGTGTACTCACTTCAAGCCCAACCTTAAGAACAAGTACGTCACTGAGATGGTTGCAGGAGTTGCAAGCTAAAGACCTCGGCATGAAAGCGGGCGAAGCTGGCATCGCAGTTGGATCGACAACCGCACAGGCTGCTCTTGGTTGGCCAGATATAATGTAGCGCCCAAACGCTGTAACTCAAATAGGTTAAAGCGGTGTAATTCTAGGGTTCTTCGATGCACTTTGAATTGTTAGAATATGTCATTCTCTAGTATTTTTGTGTAACCTTCAGTACAACAGGTGTGTTTGAAGCATGACTACGTATCGTGGCGGCCCACATGCTATAACAGAGTAGCCTAGCTGCAATGGAAACTACAGCTGCTCCGTAAACGGTAAATAGCGCAACATAAGAAGCAAAAGTTCAGTACCAAGTTGAGCAAAGTAAAGTATTGAGGATTACATGAAACATGGAAAGTGCAAAACGGGACCACTGTGAGAAGAGCATAGTGTCTAGGACAACGTCCAATCTGGGCATCGCACTGCAAGCACGATGGTGGCTGCAACGTCTCAAGTTCAGTCCAGGTTCAGTACAGCACAGCACGGTACCACACAGAAGGATATGTGCAATACCGTATAGCACAGAATTGCGTACACAGGGTTCAATATCGCGCAGCACAATACAGCACAGGAAGGTATAATTTAAGATGGGCGCAGTGTAGCCTTCTCATAGCTGTCGAGACCCTGACAGTGATGTGCTCGGACTTGAGTCGGCTCCGTGACGGGCTGTGGTTGCTTCATGCTCATGTATGTGCATTCTCAGAAGGTGAATAGAAACCTAGTAAGCACCTATATGGAACATGAAAACTCTCGTAATATCACGATGGCTGATCGGAGAGGCTAATCTCATTGCTTCAAAACTCACCACATGCCGGTATCTTCCCACAACTTTATCTGAGTACTTTCTGTAACCTCTCCTTCAACATATGTCCTAATCAGGCAGCGCGCGTTCTGCTTCAATGACTGTTTCACCAGCAGCTGCTTGGTTGTCGCCTAAATGCTTATTGGCTGTACAGCGGGCATTAGAGGTCGACGTGCTGGGTTGCGCCAGCTTCTTCATATCCAATCAGCGAAACTTCAGCCTCGAT